GACACTGCCCTGTGCTCAGACACTGCCTGTGCTCAGACACTGCCCTGTGCTGGGACACTGCCCTGTGCTCAGACACTGCCCTGTGCTGGGACACTGCCCTGTGCTCAGACACTGCCCTGTGCTGGGACACTGCCCTGTGCTGGGACACTGCCCTGTGCTCAGACACTGCCCTGTGCTCAGACACTGCCTGTGCTCAGACACTGCCCTGTGCTGGGACACTGCCCTGTGCTGGGACACTGCCCTGTGCTCAGACACTGCCTGTGCTCAGACACTGCCTGTGCTGGGACACTGCCCTGTGCTCAGACACTGCCCTGTGCTCAGACACTGCCCTGTGCTCAGACACTGCCCTGTGCTGGGACACTGCCCTGTGCTCAGACACTGCCCTGTGCTCAGACACTGCCCTGTGCTGGGACACTGCCCTGTGCTGGGACACTGCCCTGTGCTCAGGACACTGCCTGTGCTGGGACACTGCCCTGTGCTCAGACACTGCCTGTGCTCAGACACTGCCTGTGCTGGGACACTGCCCTGTGCTGGGACACTGCCCTGTGCTGGGACACTGCCCTGTGCTGGGACACTGCCCTGTGCTGGGACACTGCCTGTGCTCAGACACTGCCCTGTGCTCAGACACTGCCCTGTGCTCAGACACTGCCTGTGCTGGGACACTGCCCTGTGCTGGGACACTGCCTGTGCTGGGACACTGCCCTGTGCTGGGACACTGCCCTGTGCTGGGACACTGCCTGTGCTCAGACCCTGCCCTGTGCTGGGACACTGCCCTGTGCTCAGACCCTGCCCTGTGCTCAGACACTGCCCTGTGCTGGGACACTGCCCTGTGCTCAGACACTGCCTGTGCTGGGACACTGCCCTGTGCTGGGACACTGCCTGTGCTGGGACACTGCCCTGTGCTCAGACACTGCCCTGTGCTCAGACACTGCCTGTGCTCAGACACTGCCCTGTGCTCAGACACTGCCCTGTGCTCAGACACTGCCCTGTGCTGGGACACTGCCCTGTGCTGGGACACTGCCCTGTGCTCAGACACTGCCTGTGCTGGGACACTGCCCTGTGCTGGGACACTGCCCTGTGCTGGGACACTGCCTGTGCTCAGACACTGCCCTGTGCTCAGACACTGCCTGTGCTCAGACACTGCCTGTGCTGGGACACTGCCCTGTGCTGGGACACTGCCCTGTGCTGGGACACTGCCTGTGCTCAGACACTGCCCTGTGCTCAGACACTGCCCTGTGCTGGGACACTGCCTGTGCTGGGACACTGCCCTGTGCTGGGACACTGCCCTGTGCTGGGGACACTGCCCTGTGCTCAGACACTGCCCTGTGCTGGGACACTGCCCTGTGCTGGGACACTGCCCTGTGCTGGGACACTGCCCTGTGCTGGGACACTGCCCTGTGCTGGGACACTGCCTGTGCTCAGACACTGCCTGTGCTGGGACACTGCCCTGTGCTGGGACACTGCCCTGTGCTGGGACACTGCCCTGTGCTGGGACACTGCCCTGTGCTGGGACACTGCCCTGTGCTCAGACACTGCCCTGTGCTCAGACACTGCCTGTGCTCAGACACTGCCCTGTGCTGGGACACTGCCCTGTGCTGGGACACTGCCCTGTGCTCAGACACTGCCTGTGCTCAGACACTGCCCTGTGCTGGGACACTGCCCTGTGCTCAGACACTGCCCTGTGCTGGGACACTGCCCCTGTGCTGGGACACTGCCCTGTGCTCAGGACACTGCCTGTGCTCAGACACTGCCTGTGCTGGGACACTGCCCTGTGCTCAGACACTGCCCTGTGCTCAGACACTGCCCTGTGCTCAGACACTGCCCTGTGCTGGACACTGCCCTGTGCTCAGACACTGCCCTGTGCTCAGACACTGCCCTGTGCTGGGACACTGCCCTGTGCTGGGACACTGCCCTGTGCTCAGACACTGCCTGTGCTGGGACACTGCCCTGTGCTCAGACACTGCCTGTGCTCAGACACTGCCTGTGCTGGGACACTGCCCTGTGCTGGGACACTGCCCTGTGCTGGGACACTGCCCTGTGCTGGGACACTGCCCTGTGCTGGGACACTGCCTGTGCTCAGACACTGCCCTGTGCTCAGACACTGCCCTGTGCTCAGACACTGCCTGTGCTGGGACACTGCCCTGTGCTGGGACACTGCCTGTGCTGGGACACTGCCCTGTGCTGGGACACTGCCCTGTGCTGGGACACTGCCTGTGCTCAGACCCTGCCCTGTGCTGGGACACTGCCCTGTGCTCAGACCCTGCCCTGTGCTCAGACACTGCCCTGTGCTGGGACACTGCCCTGTGCTCAGACACTGCCTGTGCTGGGACACTGCCCTGTGCTGGGACACTGCCTGTGCTGGGACACTGCCCTGTGCTCAGACACTGCCCTGTGCTCAGACACTGCCTGTGCTCAGACACTGCCCTGTGCTCAGACACTGCCCTGTGCTCAGACACTGCCCTGTGCTGGGACACTGCCCTGTGCTGGGACACTGCCCTGTGCTCAGACACTGCCTGTGCTGGGACACTGCCCTGTGCTGGGACACTGCCCTGTGCTGGGACACTGCCTGTGCTCAGACACTGCCCTGTGCTCAGACACTGCCTGTGCTCAGACACTGCCTGTGCTGGGACACTGCCCTGTGCTCAGACACTGCCCTGTGCTGGGACACTGCCCTGTGCTGGGACACTGCCCTGTGCTGGGACACTGCCTGTGCTGGGACACTGCCCTGTGCTGGGACACTGCCCTGTGCTGGGACACTGCCTGTGCTCAGACACTGCCCTGTGCTCAGACACTGCCTGTGCTCAGACACTGCCCTGTGCTGGGACACTGCCTGTGCTGGGACACTGCCCTGTGCTCAGACACTGCCTGTGCTGGGACACTGCCCTGTGCTGGGGACACTGCCCTGTGCTCAGACACTGCCTGTGCTCAGACACTGCCCTGTGCTCAGACACTGCCTGTGCTGGGACACTGCCCTGTGCTCAGACACTGCCCTGTGCTCAGACACTGCCTGTGCTCAGACACTGCCTGTGCTGGGACACTGCCCTGTGCTGGGACACTGCCCTGTGCTGGGACACTGCCCTGTGCTGGGACACTGCCTGTGCTGGGACACTGCCCTGTGCTCAGACACTGCCTGTGCTCAGACACTGCCCTGTGCTCAGACACTGCCCTGTGCTGGGACACTGCCTGTGCTCAGACACTGCCCTGTGCTCAGACACTGCCCTGTGCTCAGACACTGCCCTGTGCTGGGACACTGCCCTGTGCTCAGACACTGCCCTGTGCTGGGACACTGCCTGTGCTGGGACACTGCCCTGTGCTCAGACACTGCCCTGTGCTCAGACACTGCCTGTGCTCAGACACTGCCCTGTGCTCAGACACTGCCCTGTGCTCAGACACTGCCCTGTGCTCAGACACTGCCCTGTGCTGGGACACTGCCCTGTGCTCAGACACTGCCCTGTGCTCAGACACTGCCCTGTGCTGGGACACTGCCCTGTGCTGGGACACTGCCTGTGCTGGGACACTGCCCTGTGCTGGGACACTGCCCTGTGCTGGGACACTGCCCTGTGCTGGGACACTGCCCTGTGCTCAGACACTGCCCTGTGCTCAGACACTGCCTGTGCTGGGACACTGCCCTGTGCTGGGACACTGCCCTGTGCTGGGACACTGCCTGTGCTCAGACACTGCCCTGTGCTGGGACACTGCCCTGTGCTCAGACACTGCCTGTGCTCAGACACTGCCCTGTGCTGGGACACTGCCCTGTGCTCAGACACTGCCCTGTGCTGGGACACTGCCCTGTGCTGGGACACTGCCCTGTGCTGGGACACTGCCCTGTGCTCAGACACTGCCCTGTGCTCAGACACTGCCCTGTGCTCAGACCCTGGCCGTGCCCTCAGGGCAGCTCCCAGACTCGGAATCACCAAATAAAAACCGTTACCTGTAAACTTGGAATACGAAATGTAACTCTTCAAGTGGAAATAAAAAATAAAGTTTTCTGCGTATTTACTAGTTCAACATAGGTGTGATTTCATTTCTCCTCTTTTTTTTTTTTTTTTCTGTTAATCTGAGAAAAAAGATTTGTCTTGGGAAAATAATGCTTCCAAAACAAAAATAGAAAAAAATCCACCAGAACTCCATTTTGTATTATTTCTTTTTTCCTTTCTTTCTTTCTTCCTTTTCTTTGTTTTGGTTTTTATACAGTTCTGTTTGCTTGTGTTCGCTGCTTTACCTTATGCCAGCGCAGGTTTGGGAGCATTGTGAGGATGGAAGAGCTGGAAACATCCCCAGGCTGAAATGCAGGAAGATGGTCAAGAGCCTCTCCTCTCCTTTTTCCTCCTCAGACTCGTGACTGGAAAGGCCTTTTTGAAACGCAGCCGAGCGGTTGCAGGTGGCTGAGGGGCGAGCAGCGCCAGGGCCCGCACCCAGCGCCCCGGTTCCCTTCCCTTGCTGAAAGGAGCCGTGACCCTGCCGCGTGTGCGAGGCGAGGGCCGCAGGCGGCGCTGCTTCACTCGGAGATCTGCAGGATCCCCGGGGGCGCCTTGGGAACGGCTCGGTCACACAGACGGAACGGCAGCAGCAGCAGCACCGGGGCACCGGGAGCTGGGCACGATCCTGGGACACATCCTGGGACACGATCCTGGGACAGATCCTGGGACACGATCCTGGGACAGATCCTGGGACAGATCCTGGGACAGATCCTGGGACTGGATCCTGGGACTGGATCCTGGGACAGATCCTGGGACACAATCCTGGGACAGATCCTGGGACTGGATCCTGGGACTGGATCCTGGGACAGATCCTGGGACAGATCGTGGGACAGATCCTGGGACAGATCGTGGGACAGATCCTGGGACACGATCCTGGGACTGGATCCTGGGACAGATCCTGGGACAGATCCTGGGACAGATCCTGGGACTGGATCCTGGGACTGGATCCTGGGACACGATCCTGGGACAGATCCTGGGACACGATCCTGGGACTGGATCCTGGAACACGATCCTGGGACACATCCTGGGACAGATCCTGGGACAGCTCCTCAGACAGCTCCTGGGACAGCTCCCGTGCTGCCCACGCTGCCCCCGTGGGAATCGCAGGCCCCGAGGGCCCAGCCTGGGCTGCTCCTGTCCCTGCCGTGACTCATCCCTGTCCCAGTCCCTGTCCCGGCTGTCCCGGGGCAGCTCCGGCGGTGTCCCCGCGGCCGGGGCGGGCGTTGGCAGTGCTGCAGGTGAGGCGTGAGCGGCGGCAGAGAGCGGCAGAGGAGGCGTTTCCCAGAGCTGCTCGGAGCCCCGGCCGTGTGGAGAAGGCAGCACTGGCAGCGTGGGCGGGTGCCTGGCGGCGCCGCAGCCCCGCAGGGCAGTGACCCCTCTGGGGGCGGCGCGGCTGCGGCTGCAGGCACAGAGGCCCGGCCGTGGCAGAGGCGCTTCACAGGCCCGGAGCAGCTGCGTTTGCAGCTGTGGGCAGTGCTGAGAGCTGCCCTGACCCGGCACAGCGGCCCCGAGCCCTCCGTGCGGAGCGCGGCCCTGGCCCGGCCCGGCGCGCTCAGGAGTGGATCTGGATGGCCTGGGTGACGGCGGCCTGGCACACGGGGCAGGCGGGCGCGTCCCTGGCGCAGATGCGGGCGGCGCACTGCGGGCAGAACAGGTTGTGGCCGCAGGGCACGAGGGCGGCCGTGGCCTGGCCGTCCAAGCAGAGGACGCAGTCGTGCCTGCGGCGGCACTCGGGGGGCGAGCTGGACGCGGAGCCGCCGTTGGACGAGGAGTAGCTGTCGGTGCCGGTGGAGAAGGCGGGGATGCAGACGGGCAGCCCGGGCGGGGGGCCCGGGGCGCTGCCGTGGGCCCGCCTGGCCAGCGGCTGCTCCAGAGCCTCGGGGAAGGCGGGCGACAGGCGGGGCGTGGGGGGGCGGCTGCCGCCGAGCGGGGCCCTGGAGCCGCCCGCGGCCTCGCTGCCCGGGCCGGGCGGGGCGGCCGCGGGCTCCAAGGGCGCCCATACGGTCGGGGAGGGCGCGGGCAGGGGCTCGTAGGCGGGGGAGTCCAGCGCCGGCTCCTCGGCGCCCGCGGCCGGCAGCGCCTCCCCGGCCCAGAAGCCGCCGGCGCCGAAGGGGCTGCCGGGGCTGAAGTCGGCCAGGCGGCCGCCGCTGAAGTAGGAGTCGCTGGAGCCGCTGCCCAGCGAGCTGGAGCTGTCGTTGCGGTAGCCGGAGGCCATCGCGGCGCGGGCGCGGGGCGCGGGGCGGGCGCCGGGCCAGGCGGGGCCGCCCTCGAAGCCGACGTCGGTGCCGTTGGCGCGGAAGTCGCCGTCGCGGCCGAGCTCCGGGAAGGCGCCGGTGCGCAGGGCGATGTGCATCTCGATCTCCTCGCGCGCCCGCTCCACGTTCTCGGGCGTGCCCGTCACCTCGAACACGGGCTCCTTGTCGCGGCTGGGCGTCACGATGTACGTGTGCGTCTGCTGCTGGATGCGCTTGATGGTGGCGCCCTTGGGGCCCACCACCAGCCCCACCACGCGGTACGGCACCCGCACCTGCACCGTGCTCTGCCCCGGCAGCGCGGGTGCGCGCAGCCCGGCCCCGCGGCCCTGCCGCGCCACGCCCGGATCAGCGAGAAGTGCTCGGCCGCCGACAGGATCTCGCGCTTGGCCGCCGCCACGTCCTCCCTGCGCCCCGTCACCACGAACACCGGCTCCTCGCCGCGCACCGGCGTCTTGATGTACGTGTTGGTCTTGGCCCGCAGCGCCTTGATCTTGCAGCCTGCGCGGGGAGCACGCGGCGTCGGCGGGCGGCCGGGGCACGGAGCCATGCCCGGCCCGCTCCTGCCCCGCTCCCGCCCGCCCGGAGCCCCAGGGTGCCGCGGGCACGGCTCGGGGCCGCTGCAGCTCTGCAGGGCTCCAGCGGCCCCGCCCCGGGGCCTGAGGGCCAGCCGTGCTCCCGAGGGTCCCCAGAGATTCCGGGTGTCCCCCGGCCGTCCGCACGGCGCCGCAGGAGCCTCACACACACACACACACACACACACACACACACACACAGACACACACACACACACAGAGAGCTCTGCTGACACGCCAGCCCTGCGCCCTCGGCCACAAACAAACGCTCCCAGCTGGGAGCAGGGCCTGCAGCCCAGCCCCGTGCCCCAGGCAGAACCACCGAGGGTCACCGAGAGCTCCTGTCTGCCTCCCGCCACGGGGGTGACCCAGACTCTGCCCTTCCCCGCAGGCCGAGGGGCCCTCCTGGAGCTGCCCCGGGAGCCCGAGCAGACTGCTCGGGTCACACATGGGCTCCACCCGGGGGCTTCTCTCCTTGCCTGGGCAAACGCTGCCCCAAACGGAAACCAGAGGTCAATGGAACGCTTTCCTTTGATTTTCAGGGATGGAGTGAGGGTTGGTGGGACGCACGGGCCCTGTCCTGAGACACTGCAGGTGTTGAGGCAGGCTGTGAGCAGGAGCCCAGCTTGCCCAGCCCAGGGCCAGGAGAGCGGGCAGCGCAGAACGAGCCCAGAGGAGCGGGCGCGCACTGGGGGCGTTCCCGACAGCGCCTGCGTGCCGAGCCCAGCCCGTGCGGGGCCAGCTGCCAGCAGGGACAGAGGCGGCGCTCGGAGCTGACCGCGCCTGCACGGAGCTGTGAGCAGCCCCGGCACGGCTGCCCCGCAGCGCCTCGCTCCCCCCTGCTCCGCACAGCGCCCCAGCCCCTGCGGGCACACGGAGCCGCCTCCCCAGGCCGGGCTTGGCAGCCCCTGCTCCGCGGGCCAGAGACGCTTCCACGGCCCAGAGGCTGCTCCGGGCCGCTCCTGCGGGAACGGCCCCGGGCAGGAGCAGGAGCAGGAGCAGGAGCAGGAGCAGGAGCAGGGGAGGAGGGGCCGCTCCTGCAGGCAGGCGCTGAGCGAGGCCAGAGCTGGCCCAGCTGGGCGGGAGGAGGACGAGGACGAGGAGGAGGAGGAGGAGGAGGAGGAGGAGGAGGTTCAGTGTCTCTGGCAGCGCTTGGGGAGGGAGCAGAGAGGCACGGGCAGCTGAGGGGGGCAGGGAGCGTCTGCAGGACACCGACACCGCACAGCCTGACCCAGCTCCATCCCAGCCCCAGCTCCATCCCAGCCCCAGCTCCATCCCAGCCCCAGCTCCATCCCAGCTCCAGCTCCATCCCAGCCCCAGCTCCAGCTCCATCCCAGCCCCAGCCCCAGCTCCATCCCAGCCCCAGCTCCATCCCAGCCCCAGCTCCATCCCAGCTCCATCCCAGCTCCATCCCAGCCCCAGCCCCAGCCCCAGCTCCATCTCAGCCCCAGCCCCAGCTCCATGCCAGCCCCAGCCCCAGGCTGCCACAGTCCCTGCAGTGCCCCTGTGCTCCGTGCCTGCCCCGCTGCACACAGAGCACACACAGCACTGGCTCCGTATCTCTGCTGTCATCTCTGTCTCCTGCATCCAGGAACTGCGGGGTCACATTCACAGGGCACGAACTGAGGAGCTCCCAGCACAGCTCACACACACACACAGAGTGACACACACAGTGACACACAATCCTTCATTACACACACACACAGTGACACACAATCCTTCATTACACACACAGTGACACACAATGCTTCATTACACACACACACAGTGACACACAATCCTTCATTACACACACACACACACACACAATCCTTCATTACACACACACACACACAGTGACACACAATCCTTCATTACACACACACACAGTGACACACAATCCTTCATTACACACACACAGTGACACACAATCCTTCATTACACACACACACACACACACACAATCCTTCATTACACACACACACACACAATCCTTCATTACACACACACACACACAATCCTTCATTACACACACACACACAGTGACACACAATCCTTCATTACACACACACACACACACACACACAGTGACACACAATCCTTCATTACACACACACACACATACAGTGACACACAATCCTTCATTACACACACACACACACACAATCCTTCATTACACACACACACAGTGACACACAATCCTTCATTACACACACACACACACAGTGACACACAATCCTTCATTACACACACACACACACAGTGACACACAATCCTTCATTACACACACACACACATACAGTGACACACAATCCTTCATTACACACACATACAGTGACACACAATCCTTCATTACACACACACACACACACACACACAGTGACACACAATCCTTCATTACACACACACACACACACACACACACACACAATCCTTCATTACACACACACACAGTGACACACAATCCTTCATTACACACACACACACACAGTGACACACAATCCTTCATTACACACACACACAGTGACACACAATCCTTCATTACACACACACACACAGTGACACACAATCCTTCATTACACACACACAGTGACACACAATCCTTCATTACACACACACACACACAGTGACACACAATCCTTCATTACACACACACACACACACACACACACACACAATCCTTCATTACACACACACACACACACACACAATCCTTCATTACACACACACACACACAGTGACACACAATCCTTCATTACACACACACACACACACACACAATCCTTCATTACACACACACACACACACACACAATCCTTCATTACACACACACACACACAGTGACACACAATCCTTCATTACACACACACACACACAGTGACACACAATCCTTCATTACACACACACACACACACACACACAATCCTTCATTACACACACACACACACACACACACACAATCCTTCATTACACACACACACACACACAGTGACACACAATCCTTCATTACACACACACACACACACACACACACACAATCCTTCATTACACACACACACACACACACACACACACACACACACAATCCTTCATTACACACACACACACACAGTGACACACAATCCTTCATTACACACACACACACAGTGACACACAATCCTTCATTACACACACACACACACACAGTGACACACAATCCTTCATTACACACACACACACAGTGACACACAATCCCTCACTGCACCCCACGCTCAGTGCCTGTCACCCTCGGCTCCCCCACACCTCCCCCAGCTCCCAGCCGAGGTTTCCCCGGTTTCAGGACCCGCATCCCGAGGGATCTCGGCCGTGCCTGCCCGGCGGAACGCCCCCACCCGCCTGCTCTGCCATTCCCGAGCCGCTCCCTGCCTTTCCCCCCTGCCGTGTGCGGGACAGCTCAGCTGCCGCGGGGCCGGCACCGAGCCCGGCCCAGCCCAGGCCGAGCCGGCCCCGCGGGCGGCCCCGGGCTTTGGCGGTGCCCCGTGCGCGTTCCCGTCCGTCTGTGCTGCCCTGCGACACCGAGCGCTGCCCTTCAGAGCCGGCGCTGAGAGCAAAGGAGCGGCCGGGAGTTTGTGTTCGCACGCTGCGCTCACTGCTCCACATCCCGCTCCTGGGCTGCCTCACACACAAATGGACACTCGGAGTTTGGCACCTCCTCAGAACAGCGACAGCTTCCAGCGTTTCGCTTTTTTTTTTTTTTTGCCGCCTGACTCGGCGGCAGCGCCGCGTTCCAGCAGCCGAGGAAACGTCTGAGTTTATTGATGCTTCCTTAAGAAAAACCAGCATTAATGTTGCTGTCCAGCAGAGCGGCGAGTGCCGCTGCCGGAGCCGGGAGCCGCTGCCCGGAGCTCGGAGCCGCTGCCCGGAGCCGCTGCCCGGGGCTCGGAGCCGCTGCCCGGAGCCGCTGCCCGGAGCCGCTGCCCGGAGCCGCTGCCCGGAGCTCGGAGCCGCTGCCCGGAGCCGCTGCCCGGAGCTCGGAGCCGCTGCCCGGAGCCGCTGCCCGGAGCCGCTGCCCGGAGCCGCTGCCCGGAGCTCGGAGCCGCTGCCCGGAGCCGCTGCCCGGAGCTCGGAGCCGCTGCCCGGAGCTCGGAGCCGCTGCCCGGAGCTCGGAGCCGCTGCCCGGACCCGCTGCCCGGAGCTCGGAGCCGCTGCCCGGAGCCGCTGCCCGGGGCGGGCGCTGCCCTCGCCTGGCCTGGCCCGGGCGGGCACCGGCGCCGCTGAGCGCGGAACAGCCGGGACAGCGACCCGAGCGTGCGGGAAAGGCGCGCCCGTCACCGAGAGCCCCCGGACCCAAATCCCTGACACGGAGCCCCCGGACACAAACCCCTCACACACACACAGAGACACACACGGAGCCCCCAGACCCAAACCCCCCACAGAGGGAACCCCCCGGGCATTTCGGGGCTCCTCCGCCCGCACCTCCCGTGCTCCCCCGGTGGCAGCCGGGCAGGCGAACACGCAAGTCAAAAATCTTCATTACGCAACTTTTAATATCAGAAAAATAAAACTCTTGTAATTCTCTTTACAGCAAATATATAATATCAGTGCTTCGGCCGTCATCAGTGAAAGGCCCTTTATCATAAAATATACGGATTCTGAAATTTACTGAAATCGGGTCTGTAATCCCTACTCAGACATAACAAAAAGTGTAGCAAAATTAGCAAATAGGAAACCGGCCCCGGACACTGCCCTGTGCTGGGACACTGCCCTGTGCTGGGACACTGCCCTGTGCTGGGACACTGCCCTGTGCTGGGACACTGCCCTGTGCTCAGACACTGCCCTGTGCTGGGACACTGCCTGTGCTGGGACACTGCCCTGTGCTCAGACACTGCCCTGTGCTCAGACACTGCCCTGTGCTGGGACACTGCCCTGTGCTGGGACACTGCCCTGTGCTCAGACACTGCCTGTGCTCAGACACTGCCCTGTGCTCAGACACTGCCTGTGCTGGGACACTGCCCTGTGCTGGGACACTG